GGACATCTTCAACATTGGTGATAAGGTGAGTATTCTGGACGAGCTTGAACATGGAGCAAGCGCCTGTTGTGACACACTGCTATGCAGTTAACCAAAGTACCATTCATGGCATCAGACAGAAGGCAGACAAAATTCATGCAGCACCTGCTGCACCAGCAGCTTCCAACACTTACAACCACCACTTTACCAAGAAATGGAAGATGCACTCAAAGTATGGATTGAAAACATGCAATGCTGTAAAGTTGCTTTGCCAGGTCCAATAATAAAAAATGAGGCAATAAAAATACAGACACGTCTACTTCAGCGAGAAGGACAGCCAGCAAGTGAAAGTAAATTCACAGCTAGCCAAGGCTGGCTTCACAGCTTCAAGTGAGTTGAATTAACCCTTTAGGTGCGTAATTAAATTTCGCGCCGGTTCCTGAAAAGTGTCAATTATCCTGCCAAAAATGAATTTCATATAATCACATTTTCTATATGTTTTTCCTAGAGAACTTTTAGTATATTTTCCAAATCTGGAACAAAAATTCACATATGTGTGCAAATTTTAGAGAAAAAATGACATTTATACCCAAAAATGCAGGAAATTGGTATAAATCAATGTCTGGTATATGGCAAATAAATTATATCAATTTGGTTACTAAACAGCAAATTTAGATATGTATTACATATTCAGATAATATCAAACAAAATAGTACAAAAATAAGCTATATTGCATTCAAGAAATACTCCTATACCTCAATACATAATATGTCCGCATGTCGTCTCATTTGGGGAAGTTTTTTCAAGGCCGTGGGATATCCCCGCTTGTCGCATTTAATTAATATAATATTTTGGGCGGGTTTACCCGCATGTCGCATCCAAAGGGTTAAGGTGCGTGTCTGTCAGGGGAAGCTGCATCGGTCGACACAGTTGCAGTGGAAAAAGTTAAGATGGATTGGGAAAAAGTGGTTGAGGAAGGTGACTATACTCCAGACCAACTCTGGAATTGTGATGAGACCAGACTAAACTGGAAAAAGAAGCCAAAGAAGGCGTATTTAATGAAAGCAGAAGTCAAAGCTCCAGGATTTAAGATCAGTAAGGACAGAATAACAGTGCTTCTCTGTGCTAATGCCTCAGGAACTCGGCACATGAAACCTCTCACCAATCACTCTGCTGCCAGACATAGTGCTTTTAAAAATGTGCTCCTACCTCAGCTCCCAGTCATATGGAAACCTAACAAGAAAGCCTGGATGACCGGAGATGTGTTTGAAGACTGGTTTATTAATCATGTCATCCCGTACATCGAGAAAATCAGTGACAAGGCACTCAGCCCATCTCAACAACATCAACAAAAACATTCAGTTGTTCTTCTTGCCCCCGAATGTCACCTCTCTTATTCAGCCTATGGATCAGGGAGCCATTGCCTTATTCAAATGAATGTATTTGAAGACAACAATGAAGCAATGGCAGATGCAATGAGTTCTGACCAAGAACCGACTGTCCGGCAATTCTGAAAAAATTTCACAATCAAGGATACCTGCCATCTTTAACGTTGCTCTGAGCTGGAAATCCCTCTCTGAACAAGCCCTGAATGGTGCTTGGAATTCTCTGTGGCCTGATGATGTCTAAACTTTCAAAGGATTTACCAAGGATGAAGATCTCAGAGATATAAGGGAAGATACTGGGTTCCAAGCAGTCACAGAAGAAGATGTGGACTAACTTCTAGAGAGCATGGACGACCCAACAAAGACTGAAGAAGCCCTAGAGTTAGCTTTGATGAATAAGAAATGTGAGGAAGAGGAGGAAGCCGAAGATGAGTTCCACACGTAAAGAAAGAGTGGAACATCACGGAACTTATGGAATTCATGTGCTTAATATCTTCTGTCATCAAGTGTGTTTGGAACAATGATCCTGATGTGGAGAGGGCTATAGACAACTTGTACAGGTTCTCTTCTACCTACAGTCATCTGCTGAACAGGAAGATAGCTAACCAGAAGCAGCGGTCTATCATTTCCTACTTCCGGCCTCTTTCTCGCTTATAGGCAAGTTTAGGTTTGTGTTTTTTATTGAAAACGTAAAGAAAAAATGAGTTGTATAAGTCTGTCCAGTGGTGGTGAGTGGTCAAGAGACTCGGTGCACATGCACTCCACCCTCTTAGCTGTCTGCGTCGAGTCTCGGCTGAGTGCATTATGCCAGATAAAAATTCTATTTTAATGATTCCTGTGCATGTTATTTTTTTACAGGTGAAGTGGAGGCTGGACCATCTGGGGAGAAAGCAGAACCATCAGGGTGCAGGCAGGACCATCAGGGGTGCAGGCAGGCGCTATGCATACCCACTCAAGCAATGAGGAGGCAGACGATGATGTTGGCGAGTTATCACATTTACACTCACTTAGGCATGTTTATTTCATATTTTCATGTGGTGTGGCGTGGAGGAGGTTGGCTGTGAGTCGAGCAGCTAGTGATGAGTCAGCAGATTCCGACTTTTAAGGGTAGTGTAAATTGGTCGCTAGTGACGTGAAAAGTGAAGTGAAGAGAATGGAAAACTTAATGGAAAAGATTTAATATGTACTCTAACTAATGTTTATCTTTTTCATTTATTTAGGAGTGGGGGGCAGTGTGGTGTCTGGTGTTCCCAGGATGCCGAGTCTGTGTTCCCAACATGACGCGTGGGATGGTGCGCCAGCTCCCGAGTCTGGTGTTCCTTCATATTGATACTGATATTGAAAGAGCCTGTTTTCCCAAGTCTAGTGTTCATTAGTGCTTTAGTTAGTAAGAAAATAAACTCGTTAAGTCAAGTTTAGTCACTTTTATTGGCCTCCGAAACCTAACCCTATTTTCCCCATTGATTACATGTAATTATATATCGCGATTTAGTACATAGCGAACTTCGTCGGACCCTCTCTCGCGATATAGCCCAACCCTACTGTATTTCATTAAACATTAATATTAATAGTGATATCTCCATTAGCCGGAAAAATTGGTACAGAGCACTTCAGGGAATGAGAGATTTCCGGGTAATGAGACGACTCTCAAAGCTGGAAAAAATCCCTCGTCCCCAGAATTTTCTGGGTAACAGAAAATTTTTCTCAAAAGTTCCAGAAATTGCCCATTACATCATCTCTCGAACCCGGAAAAATATCCCCCATCCCCGGAATTTTCCAAGTATCGGAAAAATGTTCTCGGAAGTTCTGGAAAATGCACCTGATTTTCATCTCTCAAACCCGGAAAAAACTCCCCCATCGCTGGAATTTTCTGGGTATCGGAAAAATTTTCAGATTTTTCTGGAAAATGTACCCCTTGGAAAATTGTTTCTAAAGCCGGAATTTTTCAGAGGGCTTTAGTGAGATTTTCTAAGAAAATTTCAATTCCGGCTATTGGAGAGTTCCGGGTTTGAGGGGTTCCGTCTAACGGAGATATTACATATAATTACAGGTAAACAATGACCACACACACACACTGAGATACGAATGGGCGAGGTTAAAAAAGTGTATTTTCATATCACGAATAAAAGAACATATGGGAAAATCCTCCAATATCACACCCCCAAAACATGAAATCGGTTAACAAACAAGAACAAAGCCTTCCTAGCTAATGATAAATAATACACAACTACTCTGATTAATTCAAATGTTTAAAAAATATATATAAAACATACAAGTGCATGGCTGCATTGCCTCCCTGTATTTTTCTTACATTAATAAGGTACAAATATAAATTGAATGATTGTAATATTCCTTTACTTTATTTGAATTCAAAGAATATGACAAACCACTGTCTTTATGAAAATTTATTTAAAATATGTATTACAAAATTACTGTAAGAGATTAGATTTTGAAGTTATAGAATGAAACATATTTGTTTCATTAAAAGATAATTGTTTCAGTGTCATGAAACAGTGGTAGAAATTGGTCTGGGTTGTACAGTTGTGAAATACATCCCTATTTTTAACATTTAAATAGTTGTTTTTATGGGATTTACCTCATGAAAACTTTGAGGTTTGGAATTTCTGAAAATTGACAAATTATAACAAATTACAAATTACCCGTATGGAAGTTTTTGTACACTGTAATAATGAAACTGAGCTTTCTTGACAATCTATTTCAACTTGAACCCTCCTAACAAGTTTAGATATCCATTTAAACACCTGAAGCCAGACTCTGCAAATGATAATGTGAAATGAAGTTAAATGCTGTGATGACAGCACAGAATGGTTATTGGACCTGGCCACCAGCCCACATGGTAACTTCTGACCCTTTAACCCAACACACATTTGCATCATAAATACACTGTCCCAAAAATGAAATACAAATGCCTAGAACTGCAAAGTAGCTAGACCATCCTAATGTGTCCTAAAAATATATGGGAAAAACCTAGCTACCAAAAACAATCAGGCAGCTGGAACATATCTGGTCAGGACAAGAGGAGACTGGGAAATGAACATTATTTGTAACCATTTTCCAAGTTCAAACCTATGCAGATTGTGGAGCACAAATGCATTAGTGGAGCAAGTAAGGACTCTTAGCTCTCTACTAATGGCCCAATAGGGCTAACATCTCTTTAAAGGTTACAAGGGAACCTCAGGATATCAACACGTAAGCCTGATGATTCAGTGACTCGCCTCATCCCCCCCCCCCACAAAAAAAAAAGTTATCACTGGTATACCAGAGGAAACTTTAGAAATGATCCCCTCGCACTGCATCACCCATTAAAACTTCCTTCCTTAATCTCTAATGCATATAAATTTGTGATTCAAGAAACTTCTAGTTAGTTTCCAATGAAATCATTTGCACTCTCAATAAGTTTTGACCTTTAATCTAGCTTCTGGACAAGTGGTCTTGGTATCAATAAATCTGTGTTCCTTATTAAATTCAGATTCTACTGTGCTGGATACTGTGCAGTACTACAAGGATAATGTCCCAATATGTTAACCATATTAACAATAATGATAAACATTTACCTTTTATAATACAGTATACTGTACAATACTGTAGTGTACACATAAAAAACAAACTTCTCACCTTTGCACCTGCAGCCTGCCCTTTCTTCCCTTCATTTTGTTTCTTTGCATTCTTGGCTCGAGCTAGTTCACGCTGGTTACCTCCTGCAAATATCATATACTTCTTTAATATTCCTGAACAAGGTCATCTTTGACAGTTTAAGCTACAGATAGAAGTTCTAATCCTTTTGTAGGATTTATCTTATATGTTTAAAGGAGAAATTTTTATGCACAAATACCAATATGAAAAATTACCCGAGCAAACTATTTTGGGCAAACTAGATTTTGAACAACAATCTGTTCCTAGCATATTGGGCTGTGGCACAACTAAACAACAGAACTCTCTACATTCTCTTAAGGCACGTTTTCAAAACAGTTGTAACAATGGCCAAAGTCCAAGATGCTATTACTGTATTCTTATTAAGCCAGAAAAGTTGGAAAAGTAGTTCTCTCTTATCACAAGAGTTCCATTCCTGAAACCCCATGTGATGTGTAAAACTAATACTGTAACAAAGCGTGTTCGGCATCCGGGCCTTCGATGTAGAGCGGCAGAAATTGGACAGTGATTACATAAGTTCGTCAAGATCGTCTTAGTGAGGTGAAAGTGTAAATCGATGTCGGACTTTTCATGCTAGACACGATTGTATTTTTGAAAACTCAATTTCCACCGAGTTGGAGGTGCAGCCAGGGTCACAGGCCTATAACCACACAATCACTGCCACATGACAAAGCTTTTATTTTATTTTATTTTTTAGGGTGTTGTGGTCACGGCTGTGATAAAGGCCAACCAGGGAGTGTAGTACTGTGCCTTCAGTTAAATCAGTTCATAGTTGTCATCAGTGAATGCAGAAGAGACTATAATAACTTAAAGTGAATACATATTGGCAATCGAGCTGGTAAGGACAACTGCCAGCCTATTCGTGTCATAGGTGCCACAGAGACTTTAAATTTTATTTTGTTTGTGTGCTTGCTCAAGGACTGAATCTGTGTTTATAATACACCACTCACAGGGAGATACAGTGTACACAGTGATAGTTCATAGTGTCATCAGTGACCGCTGAAGTTGTAAATAACTTAAAGTGAGCGCTCACTAGCAAGCAAGCTGGAAAGGCACCGTGCCAGCTGAAACCAAGTCGTGTCATAGGTGCCACAGAGACTTTAAATTTTATGTTGATTGTGTGCTTTCTCAAGGACTGAAACTGTGCCTACAATACACCATTCACAGGGAGATACAGTGTACGCAGTCGCAGACGACAACTCCATAGGCAACAGAGAGTAGCTAAGTACTTTTTCTCTCTTTATTTTCTTTGAAATAGGTGTAGATTTATACACAGTCTGCACCCCCCCCCCCACAACAACAACAACCATGAGTTTGATATGTGATTACTGCAGGGAGACGTCGGATATGGAGGATGCAGGCCTAACTAATGCAGCGTTTAGGAGGTTACTAACTGCCGTAAAGCTTGATGGCTGTTGCTGGTATTGCCCTGGCTGCATAGTCAAGGTGAATGAAGCGATTGCAATCCATAAGGGAACGAGTTCTCTAGGGACGAAAATAGATGAAGCAGGAGCCCTGCTGGTTGACAAACTGGAGCAAGTTGAGAAAGAGATCCTTGCTAAGACTGAGGAAGTAGCTAATAGAATGGAGGTGGTTGCTAAGAGGAGTTATGCGGACGTATTAGGAGGGCCACGGGGGGGGGCGGAGAGTAATGCAGAATCAGTACAGGTTCTACAGCAGATTGGGACTCTGAAAAAGTGTGTCGAAGAAATGAAAATTAACGCACCTACTGTTAGGGGAGAGGAGGAACACCAGGAACGGCTCCAGCGCAGGAACAATGTAATAGTTTTTGGAGTCCCAGAGAGCCAGGCAGAGGGAACTGTGAGTAAGGAAACACACAAGGTGCTGTTTCAAAATATTTGCACAGAGGTTCTGAAGATTCCAGCAACCCCTCAGGATGTGAGGAGACTGGGACAAAAGCAGGGGGCTAAGCCTCGCCCCCTCAGGATCACACTAGGGAGTGAGGAGGAGAAATGGCAAGTTATCCGGCAGGCAAAAAACTTAGCAAGGAGCGAGGCATTTCGGGATGTATTTATTCACCCAGACCGCACGGTAATGCAGAGGGAACAGCACAAGAAGCTCCTGCTGGACTTGAAGCAGAAGAGGGAGGAGTCGAGGAGGAACGGGGACAGGTGCACATAGGTTATACTCAGGAGGAGGGTAGTGGAAACAAGTGTGCCGACACAGGGCCAGGGGGCAGCAGTGCACCCTCCACCCACTCAACCCCCCACCCGGGAGGCGGCACCAGCTCAGCCTACCGGACAGGAGGGAACGAGCGCCGTGTAAACAATGACATTTTTAACCACACCCTGCAAAATACAGTGTACTTAGCAAATGCTGCAGCTTCTGAGAATGTGGGTGGAGCGGGTTTATTACTAAGAGCAGAGACGTTACCGAGAACAAATTCTGGCTTGAATGTCATGTACACTAATACCGACACGTTCCTTGATAAGAGGGAGGAGTTTGAAACACTACTAAGAGTACACCAACCAGATATTGTAGGAGTTGTAGAACTGTTGTACAAGAACAGGAGAATCGACCCAGAGGAATGTGAGTTCAGTATTGCTGGATATGACTCATTTACGAACCTAACTCAAGAATCCTGCAGGAGGGGTGTGGTTATCTACGCTAGGCAAGACCTTAGAGCCAGCCAGGCGAGGGTACAGGGAGAGGATGTTTTTGAAGAGTCCAAGTGGTGTAAAATTAAATTAAAGGGAGGGGACTTACTTATCGTCGGGTGTATCTACAGATCCCCGAACTGTGGCCCACTAAATCAAAGGAACTTAAGAACCTTAATAAACAATGCGGCGATGCTCAACCCCAGCCACCTCCTTATCATGGGGGACTTTAACTATGGCGACATCGACTGGAGAAACGAGTCAACCCCGAATGACTTGAATAATCCTGCTACTCTTTTTGTAGAAACTCTGAGAGATAATTTTCTGTTCCAACATGTGAGAGACCCGACACATTACAGAGGGGAGCAAACACCCAAGCCACTTGACCTCATCATAACAAACGAGGAGGGTATGGTGGCCAAACTGGAACACCTTGCCCCAGTTGGCACCAGTCACCATACAGTGTTGTCATTCAGATTTAACTGTTACCTAGTTCAAGATAAGGCCAGGCCAAGGTGCAAATATTACAAGGGAAATTACAATGGGATGAGGGAAGAGATGAGGGGTATCAACTGGCCTGACTTATTAAGGTACAAGAACGCAGACACTACGCTGAATATCATAACTAGTAAAATGACCCATTTGATCGATAAATATATACCCAAGACCAAACCCAGTGCTTCTAGGAATACGAGGGGATCCCTACACATGAACCATGCGGCGGTCGACAAAATTAAGAAGAAAACCCAGAAATTCAAGACGTGGGTTGGGTCAAACGATGAGCAAGACAGGAGGATGTATGCAAGAGCCAGAAACCAAGCAAAGATAGAGTGTAGGAGGGCTGAAAAGGAGTTCCAAAGGCTGGTTGCACGCGAGGTCAAGTCAAACCCAAAGGCGTTTTACCGCTATGCAAAGTCGAAATTGAAAACGCGAGTAGGAGTATCAGACCTGAGGCTTGAAGATGGTAGTTACGCAGATTCTGACCAGGATAAAGCTGAGGCATTGAACAGCTTCTTTTCCTCAGTGTTCACAAGAGAGGATGCAACTAACCTTCCTGCGTTTGAGGACAGACGGTTCGACACAGCACTGACCCACATTGTGTTCACAGAAGAGGGTATTAGAAATAAACTGTCCAGGCTAAAGGTCCATAAGAGTCCTGGACCTGACATGGTGCATCCTAGAGTGCTAAGGGAGCTGTGCAACGAGCTTGCAGAGCCCCTGAAGATTCTGTTTTGTAAATGCCTGGATGAACAAATGGTCCCCAGTGAATGGAAAGTGGCTTATGTGAGTCCTATCTTCAAGAAGGGCGATAGGCACTCCACGAACAACTATAGACCGGTGAGCCTGACCAGCATAATATGTAAAGTACTTGAGAGTATTATCAGAGATGCAGCGATGGAACATCTACTACGAAACAACCTTGTAAAAGATTGCCAACACGGTTTTATGCCGGGGCGCTCTTGCTTGACACAATTGCTCAAGGTATTGGATATTTGGACCCATATTCTAGAACGGGGTGGTAATATCGACAATATTTACCTAGATTTTGCCAAGGCTTTCGACAGTGTACCCCACGAAAGGCTGAAAATCAAACTGGAAGGGTACGGAATTCGGGGAAATGTCCTAGCGTGGATAGAAGACTTTCTACATGACCGCAAGCAATGTGTGGTGATTAATGGCACGAAATCGTCATCTGTACCTGTAACAAGTGGGGTACCGCAGGGTAGTGTATTGGGCCCGCTGTTGTTTGTTTGTTTCATAAATGATATGCCTGACGTTGTACACTCCTCCATACAAATGTTTGCCGATGACGCCAAGTTATTTCGGGAAATTAAGAACCAAGCGGACTGTGAAGAGCTGCAGAAGGACCTCTGTGGGCTCCAGGAATGGTCGAAGGAATGGCTGCTGAGATTCAATGTCACGAAGTGTAAGAGGATGCACCTGGGGCGTACCAACGGTAAGGAGGCGTACCATATGTCCCAACGGGATGAAGAAAATGTACTAGTTGAGACTGTGTGTGAGAAGGACCTAGGTGTGTATGTTGACAATGAGCTGAAGTTCTCGGGCCATTGTGAGAAGAAGGTAAATCAGGCAAATAAATTATTGGGTCTTATAAGAAGGTCGTTCAGATATCTAGACGGTCCGTCCCTCGTGACGATCTTCAGGAGTGAAGTGCTTCCCCATCTGGAGTACTGTCACCCCATCTGGTCCCCGAGATATGCTAGGGACTGTCAGTTGGTTGAAAATGTTCAAAGGAGGGCCACCAAACTGGTGCCTGCACTTCGGCATCTCAGCTACCCTGAGAGATTGGAGCGCCTGAACTTGCCTAGCTTATACTACAGACGGGCAAGGGGGGACCTAGTTGAGGTTTATAAGCATCTCAGGGGGCACTACTCAGTTGAGTGTCCTTACTTGGAGCTGGCGGACGC